TATATATATATATAATTTATTGAATATATAATTTGAAAATGACAAATTAAGACACATTTTTAATGTAATTTTACACTTGTACTGTAAAATATTTGTTATTATCATAATATTGTTTTTCTTAAAAACATTTTAATTCAGCAGTGAAATATAATATATTAATTTGATTTTTATTATAAAAATAATACCGTTTATTATCATTAATAATAATAATAATAATATAATTTTGTAAAAATATCCTTTTTTCTTTTGATTTTTGGGGTTTAATATGATGCGTAATTATTGCAATCATCCTTAATATCTTCAAAGTAATGAGGTTAAATCAATGTCTGGGAATTGTTATGCTTATTGTGACCATGTGTTCTGCTGTCTGTGGTTTGGTAAAGTGAGACGGCTGAAATCCTGTCCAGCGGTTGATGTGGTGGATGGAATAACTGGTTGATGCGATACAGTACGCTGGGTCAGTGTCTGATGACAGGATCTGCTGTCCGTGTCCATGAAGCCTAATCTTGTTGCGTAATATCACTGTAGTTCCTGCCAGGCCTCACATAGTCATAGTCTGTGTGCATACCATAACCTACATTTCACTGATCAAGTTTGATTATTTAGCTGCTTTATTGATATGACTGAACTGGTGGGGTTAAATGGACTGCCAGCCTTTGTGGGATATTGGCAATATTGATCACTTTTCTTTGTTTGTTTTTTTTGGCTAAAACCTAGTAAGCTCCTTACATAGACAGCATCTGATCTGCAAAAGCTGTTGACAGATAGACAGACTCAGGGCTCCAGACTGCGACTAAAACGGTCACATTTGCTACCAAAAATATTCATTTGTGAGTGAAGTTTTTGCTAAGGTTGCCACTGCCGACTGTATGTATTTACATGTTACGATTTAAAAATTTGCATGTAATGCCTTTTTTCCTGATAATTTTGCGATCACATTTTTTGTTATGTTGACGTATTAAACTGAGACGATGTGCATCAAAGTTTTAGTGGAAAAAAGAGTTTCAAACAGTCCTCGTCTCTGCCGAACACCAGCGATAACGGCACACCTGCTAAACGCAGCTCAGTTGTGCAGCGCGAGAGAGAGATCGAAATGACGGAGACATGCGAAGTAAAAGTGTAGAAAAGCAGTGTCTATTTCGTGCACAACTTGAACAAACTACAACAGGTAAAGCTGTCAGCTGTGTGGATATTGGCAATATCGTTAACAATTCTCGTTTATAATCATTACTAATATGGCTTCTTCTTATCAAGATCTTAGGCTATATACTGTGTTCCGTTAATGCGTGAACTTCATATTATTTGAAGCGCACTTGCCGTCCAGTAATCGCAAAAAGCTTTGTGCTTTGTTACTTTTTAATAAACAAAGTATCAGCTTTAAAATTATGCCAAATTCATAACGAAATTCAAACAGTAAATACGACTTTGGCGCTCTTTAATGCGGCAGGCGCGATTGCTTTAGCGCCTCAGTTCAAGCGGCAAGTGAACCCATTAACGTTCCCTTTACTACTATAGTAGCTACATAATGAACATGAATTAACATCAAAAGGTAGGCTATTTTATAAGAGAGACTACAGTACAACTGAAATGTCTGTAATGTCTGAAATTGCTCATTCAGTTTTTCAAACTGCGGAAAACGTGTAAAGCTTGTAAACATTGCAACGTAATAATCAGAATAACCATTCGTTGTCCATAAGCTGATCAGTCAGCTAGAAAAATAACTATTAAGAGGAGCGTTTTGCACTACTGCATACTAATATTTTTACTAAACCTGTCGTCTACATGATTATAAAATTCCTATAAAATTGCATTTTACTAATGAAGAAAAACAGACTGGATGTGCGAAAGACATATGACAACATTTATAGGATGCATTGAGGAGGAGCCCAAACTACACTCAATGGCCAAGTGATGCTTATGGTCCGTGATATTGGTACAGATTCTGTGTAATGAGCAATTATTTGTGACTGTATATTTCAAGTTGGAAAAGACATTTAGTTCCAACATTAAGTGAACCTTAGTTCCCAGGTCATCTACAAGATGGATTAAAATGCTGATAAATCAAGAAAAGATGAGACATAAACACATGACAGTATGATTGAAATGTTAAAATGTAAAAAAATAAAATAAATAAATAAAACACGTTTATTCTGTGGCACCTAAAAAAATTATTTGGCGCCTAATTTTTTTCTTATAGGAGCCAATGGCTCCTTACTCGATTTTTTTGTCTGGAGCCCTGAGACTGCATAATTAATTACATGTAAACATAAAAACAGTAGAAGCATACTAGATTATAACAAGATTTTCTTGTATGTAAATCCATTTATATAAAAGAATTTATGGGACATGAAACCAGCTGAGCAGTTTCACTTGTTTTTATTTTCTTGTTAATTTATACAAAAAGAGAACTGCAATGTATGTGAAACTAAAGCAGAGCTGTAGCAGGTTCCAGCAGGTGATTTACATGTATTCATGCTCTGGTTTTCTCTCCTCCATCAGCTCGGACATGAGTGGGGCCAGTAACACCCTGGCACGGGAGTTCCTGACGGATGTGCACCAGTTGTGTAGTGCGGTGGCCCAGCGGGCCGAGGACGAGGAGGAGAGTCACATGGTGGCGCTGGGAGAGTATCTGGTGCGGGGACGCGGGTTCCTGCTTCTCAGCACCCTGGACTCTGTCATTGACCAGGTCAGTCAGAGAAGCTTCATTTGAAGATATTTTAACCTTAAAATGAACCTTAAAGCCTACTAAAGCATCTAGATGATCAACATGATCAGAACTTTAAGTCGTGGGAAAGTCGTGGCCTAATGGTTAGAGAGTCGGACTCATAACCCAAAGGTTGTGGGTTCGAGTCTCGTACCGGCAGGGATTGTAGGTAGGGGGAGTGAATGTACAGCGCTCTCTCTCACCTTCAATACCACGACTGAGGTGCCCTTGAGCAAGGCACCGAACCCCCAACTGCTCCCCGGGCGCCGCAGCATACCACACGTCATTTCACTTCACTTCAAACTTTACTGAAAAACCTGTTGCACAGAATCTACTGCATGTCTTCTATCGTCTGAGTGATAATTTAGACTTTTTTTGCGAGTGAAAGTTTTTTTTAGTATAATTGTACAAACGTCCACCTTCAGCGCGTGCTTCACGTGTCTTTTTGCTGTAAAATCTTTACTGATTTTTAAAAAATAAACATAAGAATAACTTTTATATTTTTTATAGTGCTGTCAAACGATGAATCGCGATTAATCGCATCCAAAATAAAAGGTTTTGTTTTCATAATATATGTGTGTGTACTCTGTATATTTATTATGGATATATAAATACACACACAGGCATGTATATATTTAAGAAAAATGTTATGTTTATATATTAAATATATTTATATATGATATAATTTATATGAATATAAATATATACATTTAAATACATGTAAATATTTTCAAAATATATGCTGTATGTGTTATATATAATTATATATACATAATAAATACACACAGTACACACATATTATGTAAACAAAAACGTTTATTTTGGATGCGATTAATTGCGATTAATCATTTGACAGCACTAATGTTTTAGAAAAATTAGTATCAAATATGATCCATCAGGCCTTCGAGGAATGCTTATTTGTTCATCTCTCAATCATCATTGTATTGCATTGTATTTTGTTTTGATTACCAAACTAAGCATTTAAAAATCATTTTACTAAGACATATTATTGGAGATATAGAGTGACGACTGATATTTATATAATTTTATGTAAGTATCTTTCATACTGTTATAGGGATGTTCATTTTAACCGGTTAACCGTTAACCGATCGTATAGAATTTTGACCGATTAATACAATCAGTTAAACGGTTTAAAAAGTAAAATTTTTTTTTTCAGTAATTTATCAAAATATTTAAAAAGATTTGCTTCATGGTTAAAATACGCTACGCGTATAAAATAATTGTGTTTTTTAGAGAGAGAAAAAACAAGTAGCATTTTATTATTTCATTCAGAAATAGGCCTAATGCCGACGCGAAATGTTTACAAACATTATAATAAACACTGTAAACATAGCTAGGCTATTTTAGTTCACCTCCACAACAAAGCCTTTCAATTAACAGTATTTAGAAAAAAACAAGAATTAAAAATATAAGAAGCTATAGCAATATTAACGACAAGCCAAAACAAATTAATTTAGGCTAAAACGAAACTGAAACCAACGTTGTGTCTCTCATTCGACACAAAATCAAATGTTTCCGTATTTGCGATGTATTTAAATGGCAAATTATTATTTATTATGTAGCCTACTTAACTCGCGTTCCAATATCCACGTAAAACAAAATGTTTTGCATAACATCACGGTGGTGCGGTGATAACACTTAACGGCACAGAGTTTACTACATATTTTTTTACTACATTTTTTTTTCCATATGTTTGACTGACTGTATTTTATTATGATAATGAACGGCGCAATCACTTGAATTTTTTCCTTCTAACAGTGGAAACAACTACTCCTTTTAGTCATAAAGGTAATCGGAATTGTAAAAGGTTTGCCTTTATTTGTGTACATTCACAATAAAAACAAATCTTTGTGCTTTTGTAAAATAAGC